GGACAAGATACGAGTGCAAAACTGTATATTTTTGAACTAAAAGACATGCACATTTTATATTACAGCAACTGTCCGAGATGCAACCGAGGTATGAAACGCACCAAGCTATGTACAAAGGACGAAAAGCCAGTAAGCAAAGCTTCAGGGGGATGGGGAAGTGGGTGAAGGGAATGCAATAAGACAAGCTCCAGGGTAAATCTGAGGGGAATGAGGCGCGAGGATGGAGATGGTGTGGTGGTGGAACGAGTGATATGCCCGGTGGTGGAAAGTTCGCTGGCGGCCACTGGTGGCCGCCACTGGATATTGGTGGCCATTGGCGGCCGCTGACGTGCGACGGGTAGCACTGCCTGCCGCGATAAGATAATGGGTGCCATCGGATATTGCCGAGAATCAATCTGTTATTCGGGTTTTTTGCGAACGCGCTACTCAGCTTGCATAGCTCTGAAGCCACAGTACTGGTATACAAAGGGCTGTTTCTACCCACATATTTAAATCAATAGTAATACAACAACACAGAAACATATCACGACGTGGCGGTCATTACATTGAGTACTAACGAGTGTGTGCGAACCTTACGCGCGAGGGAGAAGAGGCGCTACGTATCTAGCTGCAGCATGCATGTAAGTGGTATCAAAGTGTGGGCGTATAAAAGCAGACGTGGTGCGGTGGAAGAGGATGGAGCGGGATGGGGTGGAAGGGATACAGCGAAATTAGCGGGTAAGCGTGCCGGAGGGTGGTGGAGGGTGGTGGAGATTCGTGGCGGCGGTGGGATGGCGGTGGTACAAAAACAAGCAAAGGAACAAACACATCTAGTACGGGCGCGGCACTCGAGACGCTCCACGGACGTCGTGCCCCCACGTTACGACCCAGCAAAATGAAACTCTGCACCCTCCTCCCTCCTCCCCAGCGAGTCTCCGAAGGGCGGAGCGGGAGGGCGGGGCGGATGAGGAGGGAATTATGCCAACCCCCTCACATACCCAACAACCACCCCCGCCCCGCCCATCAAGCTCGCGCTCATCCGGCGCGCCATCACCGCTGCCCTTGGACGTATCGGGCGGCGGTGCTTCACGCGTTCCCTTAATTCCCCAATCCATTTACCCCGCACCATACCGCGCGCGCCGTACCCAAATCCCCCTAACCCCCCGCCCGCAAGCCAGCGCTCGGGATCCGATGCGCTGACCCACCCACTCAGCCGGGCACGTAGACGGTGCAGTCGTTCCGGCCATGGTGCCTCCGGCGTGGTGCGTGGAAGGGAAAGTGCGAGAGAAAGTGGCGGGGACGAGTGTCGCAGAAGTGAACGCGCGTCGGGGTGGATGTCTGGCGTAAGGGGATGCGGTTCCACCTTGACTGTGGCAGTGGGCGAGGCGGCGGCGCGCATGCGATATCGGCGGATGAAGCCGGCGACGCAGCCGCGGAACCACATGGCGTGGAGGGGGAATACGACGACGAGGAGGAGGGCGGGGAGGCGCGCGGAGAGGGATGATGGCCAAACTTCTCCTGCTAGGCTTGCGCCCTTCCCTGCGTGCTCAGCGCCTGAGTTGTATGCGGAAGCGGCGCCGCTGAACGTAGAAGTAGCACCGCCGAATGTTGGAGTGGAGAAGGTTGGAGCGGAAAAGGTGGAAGAAGAAACCACCGGCACCAACGCACACTCCACCATCAGCACCACATGGAACATGATGCGCGTCGCGAAGAACGCGAGGGCGAAGAGCGCGTTTGAGCGCAGGCGCGGGAGGAGCGTGGAGAGGCCGAGGAGGAAGGTCGGGAGCTGCATTTGAGAATGGAATTAGTACGTTGTTACAGCAGAAATAAAATAGGAGGGGTGGGCGAGAGTGAAGAGAAGTAAGTAGGAGAGGTAGGAAGCAGAAGAGGGTGGCGGGTACTGCCGCGGATGTACGTATGACTATGCGCGGAGATACGCGTCGGGCAAATGCAATGGGCAAAAATCGGGATAAAAACAATTCAGAACCATGGATCAAGGCTGCGCTGACCCGCTCCAGAACAAAAAGAAAAGAAAAAGCGAAATCTAACGCACCTCCATAACCGCACACAAACAAAACACATGCGCCCACCCCCTCCGTATCGCAAGCTCCGTAATCCCCACATACACCATATGGTGCACCCACCCCGTCAAGAAGTTGATCTGCGCTCGGTAGCACAACGCGCCTAGCAGCATGTCCGCTACCAAATACGCCTGGAAGAAGCGATTCACAGCACCAGCCAGCCCCGCACGCGCCTGCACACCCGCAACTCCGCCCTGGGAGAAGTAGTCCGCGACGAAGGGGAGGGAGGTGAGGGTCATGACGCCGCTGGCGAGGGTGGTGAGGACCCAGGCGCGCTGGCGCTCGGCGGGGAAGTGTGGTGCGAGGGCGGGGTAGGCGGCGCAGAGCGTGAGGATGGCGGGGAGGAAGATCGGGGTCGTCGATAGGTCGAAGTCTACATCCAGGGCGAGGAGACGGTCCATGGCGAAATTGAGCGGGAGGAAGGAAATAAAGGGGAGAGGGACGGTGGTGTTCATCGCTGCAGCGCCAACGACGGCGTGGTCGGACGCAAGGAGAGAGCGGAGGCAGACGCACAGACGCGCCCGTTAAGGGAGTGAGTTAATAAATGGTCCGATGCGGCCCACGTTCGTTTGGCAGCATTACTTTAAGCTTATCACGTAGAAGCGCCGATTGAGAAAGATAAAGTCAGCGTTGACTAAGGGGCAGGAGAGCCGTGCGCGCTTCGGGTGGGTCGGTCCGAGGGGGGCAAAACGAACGTGCGCTTAGGGGACTTGAACGGGCGTTGCGCGGCGTTGGGTTGTGTTGAGGAGGGGCTGTGTGCTTGGAGAGGAACGAAGGTGGGATTGTGGCGCTGTTTTGAAATGGAGGGATAGTCTGGACAGAGCCCTCGCGCGGTTTCGAGCCCAGTGATCAGCCTTGAGCAAGTCTAAACGGAAACTAGCTAGGGTCGTCAGCGGCGTAGCCATGAATGGAGAACAGGTTACAGCTGTATATACGAATCGCGGGCGGATCAAGCACATATGGCTCTACGCTGCAAACCAACTTGAGGCTCTCGACGCGACACCGTCTTCCTCGTGCGCGGTTAGGTCTTCTGCGCCCTTCCTTTCAGCGTGTCCGAGTCTTCCATTTGAAAAATTTGCGTTGCATCAGTCACTGGCACCACAAGCGCCTTGTCAAAGTTGAAATCGTGGTTCACGAATTGATAACGCTTGAGGTTTCGCGACAAACGTGCTCTGCGCCGCTTCCTTTTTCAGCACTCATTCCTCTTGCCAGATTCGTACCCGTCGATCACGAAGGTCTTCGTTCCTTGCGCGACGGCCCCGGGGTTATTTTGCCATTGACACAGGAATCTGGGCGTCCTAGGGGTCTGAGCAGGGACGATGGAGGGAGGAAGCAGGAGATTCGCGGAGAAGATTGCATCAGCATTAACCGTTCTTTAACGAGATCCCTCGTAAGCTGTGCGTTTACTCCATATGTATCCATCTCCATTCAACACCCTCTGCTCTCGCAGTTGAAGAACAGGCTCATTTATCCCATCCGTGGTGGTGCACGGGGGCTTGATGGGGTCCCTGCTCTCGCTTCTCTGTCACTGCGGTCTGCGGAAGAGTCGCCGAAAGGCCACGTAATGCGGCATTTTTTTTCAACCACACCAACATTGCACGCTGCGCCCTTTGCAGTCAAACAGCTGACCGTGCGCAGCCAATGCAGCGGACCAGACACAGCCATTCCCGTAGACAATCCCCCCAGTGGTCTCAAAGGGTTTGTGGCACGCGTGGGATGTTCACAGTTGAACGCAGCACGGAAAGTGCCGTTTCTCCGAGGATTCACCACTATATATGAAGCTTGAAACCGTGGCCGGATTTACCAGCTACCCACCCTTCCTTGCCCCACTTTTCACCTTGCTACTCAATGCCGTGCCGCAACAACCACATCTGTTACCCTAGGTCGTTGCCCTGGCTCGCTTCGCGCTCAACCCTGGCTTCGTGATCAAATTCTGTGTACTTTAACTACTGCTGGCTGTCGCTCTGCCTGTCGACAAACTCCAAGTTTAGCTCTTCCGTGTCCCCGCTTTGGTTCAATTTAATGCCGCAATCAGAATCATGCGCAATTTTCGCTCCTCAAACGATTTCTTGAGCTTCGATTCAGATGCCCCAAACCTCTCCGTCAATCATGGCTTAGCTCGTCACCACCCCACCAGAAAGCAGTCGGTTTTCATGCTCAATTTGCGGTCCATCTCTTCTCTGGCTTTTTCATTCCCGCTCATTCTGAAGTTGTCTCCAGTGCTCACACCTTTGATTTTAGGCGCTCTGTGTTGAGTTTGAGATCAGTATCTCTCGCCGCTCACATACGAGATTCTTTGTTTGCTCAAGGTATTCCGTCAACTCTGTTGAATAGAACTGTTAGTGAATCAAATACTTCTTTGCCTTATCACCATACCTGCCGGAGCGAAGCGGCGGCTGGTCTTGTTGATATTGACCCGTTGATGCGCGGCGGCAACTCGGCACAGCTCGGCACCGTCTGACGGTTGGCATCGATTATTCAATACTTCGGTGTTCGCTTTTTTCGCTCGCTTGGGAATCTCACAGCAGGGCAAGTGGGTTTTTGATCTGCCCATCGCTTCTGCGCAACGCACCATGCTCCCATCGCCTCGACGTGGTCTATCCATAATTTAACCACCCATCCTGATCACTGTCAGGAGAGGCTTCGAATCCCTCACTGGGCATATTCGACTGCAACGTCCTTTTGGCAGCCCTATCCATCTCATGGGTAATCTATCCACTCTCTCGCAGTCAGACGCTCTAACGTCGAGCCTCGTCTCTTGCTCATTAACGGTCTAGCATTACGAACTCTCCGGCATCCGTGAAATCAGCCCCCGTTTTTGACGAGGGTTTGACGTATTCTCCAACCAGCACCTCTCATTTTTCTCGCTGTTCTCGTCTTTCCTCCCTATTCCGGTCTTTCCCAATCTGCACCTTCTCGTATCTCAAGGTACCGTGGCATGCCTCCGTGGTCAAGTGGTATGACGCCTGCCTACTGTGTTGTAAGAATCCGGTTTACGTAGGCGACGAGGGTTCGAGTCCCTCCGGAGGCACTGCTCACTCCAGTTCTCTCTTTTTGTTCCTCTCGTGTCCAGTTAACAGTCCGCTTCCCAATCCTCCTGCATCGTTTCGTGGTCTGAAATTTCCTCAATGCGAGGGTATGATTTCCTCATCTTGGTTTTCCCTGTTTTCCCTCCATCATGTGCACCAACATGCTTCCGTGGTCTGGTGGTCTGACATCTGCGCGTTCTGAGTAAATCATTTTCGCAGACGATAGGGGTTCGAATCCCTGCGGAGGCTCTGTTCAGCGAGACGGTTGTTTTTGTTCCGCATGTCTCTACATGGGTGTGACCCATCCTGACTCGTTCGGCCGCAGCCTACGTCGTCTAGTGGTAAGACCCCACCAGTGTTTAGTGTGGGTACGAGGGTTCGAATCCCTCCGTAGGCATGCTCGATACCTGAACAACTTTTTCTTTACTTCTTCTCCGAATCTCCTCCTTGCACTTCCCGTTTAAGTGAAAAGATGGGGAAAATGGGAAATAAGCAACCGGGAGCTCCGAGCGTTTGGGGAGTACCCACGATTCATGCCTGGGGAGATCCTGTTAATATTCCCCGCACACCTGGAGACACACAATATTCACCCGCACGCGTAGAGACCATACATATCCACAGCCCACGTAGAGATTAACTTACCGCCGGAAAGGAAAGGCCCACAAAGCTCTGTGGACTATGTCAGTCACCTCAACTGACAGCTATCATATTGAGGACACAAGGGTTCAATTCCTTACGGAGGCGTGATAAAGTAAGCGAGATTTTTTCTTTCTTCACTAGCCTCCGGCTGCAATTGTACTCCGAGTCAGTGACTCATTTGATTGGACGTTCCGATGCAATGTCCAGCAGAAATAATGTTGAATGTATATGACACGTGCCGATCGGGGTCGCGCTGCTTAGTGGATTCAGAATGGGTGAAGCCGCTATGCTTAAGAACAAAATACATCGAAAAATGGCTGATATACACAGAATGCTATGAGAGTCTCACCCATTGAGTAGTAATCAAGACGGAGGTATCGTTCTCGCCATGCGCTATCCACCTTATTTACGGGCCCGCGGCACTTTTTTCGGCACCTTTGCAGCGGGGGCGGTAGCCGCCTCCGCGTTGGCCTGGAAAGCGGCGAAGGACTTGGCCGAATTCGGGTTCGCATTGATGGAGAACACCATCCCTTGCTTGCACTCGCTGACCATCGTGAAACGGTCATTTCAGCACTCTCAAAGCACTCTGCAACGGTTGGCAGAAGAAGAGGAGACATACCCAGTCTGTGCTGAAAAGAAAAACAGGGGAGCGGATGCGTTCTTGAGCGTTGAACTGAACTCCGGGAAAGCCGTCGTATTGATGCCTATGGGCTGGAAGCCGGAGTCAACGCTCTTTGCGAGTGGCGCGCATGGGGAGGCAAAACTGGACTGCGTGACGGACTGGAAATAATTTAGGCACGGTGTCAGGGAAAGGCACAGGATTGAACGGACGTGGTTCCTGCTCAAGAACTGAAACGTTACTTTGTCTCCAACGGCCGCTGTGATGTTGGACGGCAAAAAGGTTAGCTGTTTTAACCGTGTCAGTGTTACGTCTCCTCCGGGATATGTAGAACCCACTTCGTTGTTTTCCCCGACCAAGACCGCAAGCTTGGCTGCATGAGCAGAGAGAGTGGCGAGGCTAGCGACCGCGAGAAACAAACGCGTGAAAGTCAACATTATTTGAACCAACGTAGGAAAGAAAAAATCGAAAAGAAAGGAGAGCCTTCCGTGAGAAGTCAGCAGTGAGCGCAGTAAAGTGGGTGTAACGCGTCAACGTGCTCTGCTCTTGAACGAACTTGGGTAAAAGAAATTGAAAAGAATAAGCAGGTGCGGATAATGCACCACGGTTTTGTACCATCGCCGGTACTTGATCGGAAGAAACATGATGATGGTCGCTGTGCAAGTAGTAAGGTAGGCGCAGCACGCTGTGACGCACCGCCCTTTGCGATGTGATTCCGCAATGCAGCCGCGACGGGGATTTTCGATGTGATGCAGTCAACTCTGTCGTGCACGGTGAAGCTTCCAAAGTTGACCGCACCACATAAGATCGACGGTTCACGTTTGAAACATGTCGCGGCCCCCGCTGATTTCCGGAGTATGTTGGCGCCGGGATGTGAGAAATGTGACCTTGCCGTTCACACGCCAGAGGCGGGAAGGTTGCGAGTGGAGGTCGAAAGTTGAAACCTGTGCTAAACAGGGATTTCTTTTTACGCACCAGGACAGATCAGAGCGCGCCCAAGGAGGCTCCGGAAATTCGATTGTATACCCGACTATGTAGTGATCGGCTGGGGGATGATACGCATTGGATCGAACTATCGCCATCATTCAGTGAGTTACTCAAGAGTCACGGATAAATCGTGCTTGTACAGAACTGGTGGGTGGATACCGATCTGAAGCTATCGCGGATGTGCCTGCGGCGTCGCAGCCGTGGTCAACTACAGCCAAAATGAGCGCTGAAATACTTCAAGATATAGCTTACCGGTTGATCGTCATGATGAAAATTCAGTCCCCAAAAAGTCCAAGGCCGGCGCTGTGTATTAATCTAAACGAGAACTGGATGGATTTGACGTTTCATATTTGTCGCAAGCAAAGAACCTTAACTGTTGAAGTTGACATGTATTCGTGGCCAAACGACTCGGTTGAACCAATGCCGGAGGTATCCGAGATGCCCGGCGCAAACAGGATGTCTGCAACGCTGAAAGTTTGAAAGTTTCAACGCATACTGCACGGGTTAAGATATCAGCAAGCAAGCCTCTGTAGACGATGGAGTCGCCTCACCCACGTTTGCTGATAACGTAGTCGTTGAGGAGAAGGGGGTTCGAATCCCTTCAGTGGCCTATACCGGTACCGTTTTTATCGTTCTATTTTTTCTCCTGGGCCATATAATTTCAGACGGGCTTCCATTTGCGCGTTGAACTTCGGAGCGCAATGGTAAGAGATCGGAGGGATACTTACAGGACTCACAACCTTGACCTCGACGAAACAGTATTCGAGCCAAGTTGAATCCATAAACAGGGCCACGAAATGCGCTAAACGCTATCCGCAAGCAGCCTTTATAGACTGGGGAAGTCGCCTCGAGTACCTGGTGGCGGATATCAAGGAGAGAGGGTTCGATTCCCTCTAGGGGCTTTCGGTGATGGTCCGTATGGGTGTAATACTGTATAAGAATTACTTTGTGTAGCACCCCAGTTTTCTGAGAAAAAGTGACACCCTGGTTTCAATTCGAGCAGAAAAGGTCAGCAGTGAAATGCGAATCTAAATGTAACAGGCGCAGTGCACCGAAAATGTAGCAAGTTATTCCGACAGCATTGACACGTGGGAAAGGTCTTCAATAGGATATATTTTCCTTGAAGCCTTTGTCCGGTGAGGTTAGCTTTGACCTAACTTTGGGTATGTCCAACGCTTTCATTTCCGACCTTCGCTCCATCGCCGAACAAAGCCCGCTATAGGTACTTCAACCAAGGTATCTGGCAACTTGAATCGGATGAATGGCCCGGGGTCCTCAAGTATTCAACAGGGTGCAACCAGGGAGTAATGATTATGTCAGTGTGTCCGTTTACATAGTCCAGGTACAACATGAACTGGGTAAGCGACCATCTCTGCGGTCGTGGGTTGACCATTCTCACAAGGAAGGTCAAATCGCCTCAGTGTAGGTTCAATGCCATCAGTGATCAATAAATTATGCGCCATGTTGCGTACAAGGTTCTGGCAGTGCGCGAAAACTTGCCTCGTTTTCCAACAAGCAATGTGCTGAATTTTCAACCCTGTTTATAGTTGGTCACTTTTTCGTCTATATTTTGGGGTGTGTCACCTTCTCGAGCAAAATAATTATTTTACAGTATTCCCGCCATAGGTCCGCTTTGCCTGCCTTTTTTGAGTTACTCACCTGCGGCGGTAGAGTCGTTGCATAGATACTGCTCTAGCCTCGATTCTTGAAGGTTGGTTTGTTCAACGCAAACTCAAATAATCCCGACGCCGATCTTGTTAACACATATGACACTGAAAGTACCACCAAGGTAATCCGATTTAAATTCATATCCAGTGACATTGGGCAAATGCACGCTGTGCCGGTGCGTGCGAGGGCGGCGACGATCTCCACGGGTGGGGTGTGCAGATCGAGCACGAGGGTGGTGAGTCCGCGGGTCTGCTGCAGGATAGCAAGGATGTCCGGCGCGGGGGCGGTGCACTCCGCGAGGGTGAGCTCGGCGAGTGTAGCAGTACAACCAGAGCGATGCAAAAATGGGAGGACATGCTCGACCGGACTATAGACGTAGAGCGCATTCAGACCGGCGCAACGAGAAAATCTAGGAATGCTGGATGGGCTAGAGCGAGGCGTCGAAGGCGTGGGAGCGTCACGGTGGCGTGCCTGTCCAATGAACGGAGGGCGTCGGACCCAAGTGGCCCAAAATCCATATCGCACTCCATAAGATTTGAAGGGGCGGAGAGCACACGGAGGCGCATCGAGGGGTCGCGATACGTGGCTTTGTAGATCGTGAGTTGCGCATATGGCAGAGGTAGTGATGTTCAGGGCCCGGCTTGAAGCCCTAAGCCGGCAAAGCCGAGCCGCGGCTTTCGAAAGCCGGGCCGGGCCCTGAGCAGGGCTTGAGCCGGCCCAGGGCTTGGGCTTGAGAATTTCAAAGCCCAAGCCGGGCCACAAAGCCGCGGCCTGGACATGCAAAAATCTCCCTCAATAATGGTCACGGATCTGTGCTCACTAGCATGTCGGTTGGTTCTACAAGCTTATTTGTGGCTTATATCTGCTCACTTTTACTGCATTTTCAACTTGAACAGTTCAACACCGGGTAATGCCGAGCCTCGGCAGCTTCATGGATGTCCAGATGCAAAATTGGTGTGCTTGTCACTCATTGTTTTGTCCCTTCTACGCTCTCTATCCCTCAGTTGTGTGTCCGAGAATCAATGGCAATGAGGTTGACATTTTTTTTGACTTCAGAACACGGTGTCGTCGCCGCTCGGCTATCACACAAAAAGCCCCGGCTCAGGCCCGGGCCCACGGCTTTGAGGCCCTGGTTGCGGGCTTGGGCTTGGGCTTTGGAATTCTCAAGCCCAAGCCCGCTCAAGCCGGGCCCAAGCCGCGGCTTTCAGGCCGGGCCGGGCCCTGAACATCACTAGGCAGAGGGATATTCGATGCGGCAGATACGCCGTAATCGCCGAGGACGACACGACGCAGCCTCGGCGCGTCTTGGAAGAAGTCGTATTTTCTGACACTCCGGAAATTAAGAAATTTTGGCGCCCCCGAAGTTGAAACCGAAACTTAAAGTTTCAGGGTCGGATCAACGGGCCGGGGGCGGGCCGGCCTTCCGGCCCTGAAACTTAAAGTTTCGGTAACATCTTCGGGAGCGCCGAAATTTCTTATTTTCCGGAGTGTGAGGTATCGCACGCCCCGGCCGGTGAACACCAGCTTTTCGAGGAGGGGAAGTGAACCTGGGCCCAAGGAGCCAAAGGCGGAAGGTGGGTTGCAAGTGCCGTCAAACTCCATGTGGAGCGTGCGCCAGCGGGCGCTGTGCAGCACGAGTGTGGAGAGGAAGCGGTCGAAGAGCGTGTCGCGGCGTGAGCGGTGGAAACGGATCAGTAGATCCAGGGGGGCGTTTACAGTGCGCGCGAGCTGCGTGTGGAGGTGGGTGGCCTCACGTCTCGTCAGAGCGGTCGAAATAGTGATGAGTAGGCAACGATTGGGCTAGCTGGCGCCAGTAGGAGCACACTTGGCCAAAGAGCCATGGTCCGCCGAGTATCAAAGGCTTGCGCCAGGCGTTATTGGTAGCGAGAGGGACGATTGGTGAGGTGGGAGTTCGCGTGGGTAAGGAAAGAGTGTGTTGACGAGGGGTTGGGCCTCATCCAACATGTTCAAGGACTAAAGTGTGGTGCCCAGATACTAGCAGAGCCTTTCAAGTGAGGCGCAATCCAAGGTCAAGCAGAGGTCGAGTCGATTCGAGACTGTCGAGTCAAGGTCGAGTCCAAGGCGAATCGAGTCACGAGACGTGGTGATTGCCGCAGCGCAGCGGCAACTCGGCAAGCGATCCGAATGATCCCCATGCGTGTTGGCGCCTCTGGTTCGTTTTTCGGTGCTTACTTGAAATCACATTTAGTTCAAGGCAAGCTCTGCAGACCACTATAGATATTACCCCGCGGAAATACCCGGAGGCCCACCCATCCTTGTCTGCGACTCCCAGGAATTGGATCGACATTTGATCCTACTTATGCTTGGCACTGACATGCTGCGATCTATTACGGTTCTCTTTTGTGGATTTCATACTCACTGTCTGAACCGTGTTTACTCGGCCTTGCAGTACAGGTGATCATCCCACCGGTCGTTGTGCGGGTAATTTTGGCTAAAACTCCGAGACGGGAACAAGGGATGAAACCGTCAAAGTATGTGCCTACGAGCCTCTGTGGACTATGGGAGTCGCCTCAGCTGATATTCGTGCCTCTGAAGAGTATGGAGGAGACGAGGGTTCGATTCCCTCCAGAGGCATCACCATGAAGGGTTGCTCTTTTATACTCATCACTTGACCCTTCACGTTGAATTGACGGCCGTTCGTCCTAATTGATCCGTAGGGTGCGGTACTTTTTATAAAAAAGATGGTATGCACCTCAGAGACACCAAGTGGCCTGTTTTGTTGTTTAGGGACGGTACATTGTTGACGAAAAGCAAAATAACGACGCGAGCAGGATTTGAACCTGCGCCCGGAAACCGGAACAGATTTCTAATCTGTCGCCTTAACCACTCGGCCATCGCGCCCGATAAAGGGTCAAACGACAGACGGGACCCCATTGGGCGGGATATCCCTTCCTGATGTGATTAAACTCTGAAATTTCACGTCGAACATATGAACTGACGGAGATTCGAACGTGAGTCAGATGTATTCTTGGCGATATATTACGACCTCTCGTCGCTTCCAAATCACTCAACAATGATGCTCCGGAGCTGCTCAAGGACGGAAGAAGCAGTCACGGCTCCGAAACGAGAAGAACGGCAACGTAGAACAGCCGTAGCTAAATCTCCCAAGGTCTTCCCTATCACACACAGCCAAGTAGGATAAGAACCGACACAGTACATGGATGGATAGATAGATAAATACATATGTCAGAAGTGTTCGTGTACTCGTGTACCTGTTGATCGAACCCGCGGGTTGAAAGTCGGATAAATCTTCTATTCCTGGGCAACGACGCCTGGAATCTGCTGGAAGGCCGTGTATCTTTGTTGGGTCGCCTCTAGACACTGGTCTGGGGCCAAAAGCAAACGGGGAAGGTCAGATGCGACGACTTTAACGGCGCTTGGGTACATACGGATGAGCGGACTCCGATGCGCGAGCGAGTACATTACGGAGAGGATAGTGTTCAAGTCGCCCACCGGTGCACCATAGGGTAGGTTCTCAATCAGGACGTCCGCAAACGCGGCAAGTAAGGGCTGCAGCGGGCATGAGCATGTGATTGCCAGTCGGTGAGGGCATAATTAAAGAAGTACGTACCCCGAGAATGGGGTCGATGTGTTCCCACTCCACTATGTGCGTGTCTACCAGGCGCGCGGCGATGTAACTTGCCGCCGTAAGGCACTTACAGCGCGCCGTCACACATGTAGGGCTATGCGGCGCGTAAAGGCGAACAATGGCGGAGTATACCAGGGCGTGTGTGACCAGGGAAACTTGCGATATCGGCACGGCGGCGTCCAAGGGTGGGAGATTGCTGCGAAAGCTTTCGAGCCACTTTCCGATTTGACGGAACTGAGGTGAGTTGGGGAGGCCTGCGGGTATGGTAAGCTATCATTGCGGAAAATTACGGGAGACATACTTGAATTTCGGGTAGTAAAAGAGATGGTCCG